GGTGGTTTTTCCGTGTCCCCCCTAAAAAAACCCCTTCCAAAAAAAAAAAGGGTGGGGGAAAAAAAAAAATTTTTAAGGAATAAAAAAAAAAAAAAAAATTCTTTTTTTTTTTCTTTTTTCAATTTTTTTTTTTTTTTTTTTTTTTTTTTTTTTTTTTTTGAATTCATTTTTCCGGCATTTTTATCCGATGGTTATCTTAATTTTTCGGAATTTATCCAATAAAGCTGATAGAAAAAAACTGACCGACTGACTCAAGTTATCACCGTATGTCGAAGTAAAAAACGAGAAAAGAGATGGATTTGAAAATATGCACCAAGATTGAGCAATAAAGGCTACCATAATCTGTTAAAGAAAGATAATGTGCGCCAAAGTTTGGGTTTTAAATGTTTGCAATAAGAAAAAAATTGCAAAATAACTATTTCAACATGAAAATTTTAAATAATTAGACCAACCACTTACTATTATGTTTAGCAATATGTTAGAATCTTTGATTGGTCGATGGAGCGACAGATATTAACATTTTAATTATAAGAAAAAATATCGATATGAAAGATTTATATTTTTCTATAAACCAATCAGATTTCATAAAGCTAACCGAAATGATCTATAAATACGTATAAGTAAGTTCACTATGCAAATCTCACAATAAACCCAAACCTTTTCTGATTGTGAGAAGGTTCACATTGCTATTAGGAATAAAAGTTCATTTGCAAAATTTTTATTGAATAATGGGAATTCATGGTTTTACAAAATGGATAAAGTATGCTAATTCAAAAATTTATTCATTTATCTCATTAAAAGATTGAGATATTTTGACTAAAACACATATACTTTATTAGAGAGCGGTATGAATTTGCATCACCTATCGAGAAAAAAAAGTATACTAACTTAATATTATTTTGATAGTTTAAACATTTTATATAAAAATATTAATGTTTGTAATTTTTCCTTATTAAAAGTTTTGATAAAACAGTTCATGTAGATAACTTTTATATTGAGATGAATGAAATTATTCATGAAAATTTTGAAAAATATACAAATGTCGATGATATTTTTAATGCAACATGTGACTATTTAAATGAATTGGTTTCGATGGTTAAACCAAAGAAATTAATTTTTATTGCAGTCGATGGTATTTATTTTTAATAATATAGATATAGTTGAATTAAAAAAAAGTAAATTCTTTTATATTCATAAAACAGGAGTCGCTCCAAGAGCCAAGATGAATGAACAACGTAGCAGGCGATTATTTGCAATAAGCAGTGGTTTTGACCCAAACTATATAACACCAGGTATATATGCATACATACATATATATTTGATTTAAAGGCAGAATTATATAATCACTGACAATTCATCTTAAATTTCCGTAATTTTAGGTTATAATAATTTCACGATTCTATTTAAAGTCTTGGAATTTAATTTCTTATTTTATAAAATTATTAGGAACAAAGTTTATGGTAGATTTTTCTAACCATCTTAAAGAATTCATTCATAACAAAATTCAAAATGATGAGATTTGGAAAATTGCAAAATTTGTATACTCTGGACCTGATGTGCCAGGTGAAGGAGAGCAAAAGATAATAAAATATATTCGTAATTCTGAATCAAAATCAGATTGCATCTATGGAAGAGATTCAGATTTAATTTTAATGGGGCTTCTACATTATAAATCGAATCTTAGAATACTTAGCAGTAATAAGATTTTTTTACATAGGTAAGTCTAATTTATAATAGTGTAACTTATGCTTCGATTATATAAATTTGGTATAATACATGTATTAAACCTTTCAGCATCAATAAAAATTCAAGAATATATGAAATAAGATTATTAGGAACTTTACGTAGAAAAATAAAGGAGGAATTTTTTGAACTTTGGGAGTCTAAGCCACTACCTTTTGAATTTAATATTGAGAGCATTATAAAGGATTTTATTTTATTAGTACTTTTTATGGGTAGTGATTTTATGCCAATGTTGCCGAATATTAATAATAAAAAACTTGATATTATTTCAACTTATAAAGAGATGTTAAAAGAATGTGGTAAGAAAGAAATTATTTAAAACTTTATTAAAATATTCTACGTATTATTCTGATAAATATTTTTGTTTGCAGGAGGTTATATTTTTAATGATGATAGAAGCTTGAATAAAAGAAGACTTGAAGTGATTTTTAAGAAACTGAGCATTATTGAAAGAGAAATGTTTGAAAAAATTAAACAAAATAAATTCAATAAAACAAAAACTGAGAATGATGAACTTCTTAAATGGAAAAAAAAGTATTATCTAGACCAAGATCAAAAAATTTTAATTACATCATACATTGAAGGATTGCAATGGGTACATTCTTATTATGAAGGTTCACTAAAATCTTATAGGTGGTTTTATCCTGGACATCATTCACCACTTATATCGGGTAAGTTTTTAATATGCAAATGATAATGCATAATTATAACTAAGTAATTGAATTTTAGATTTGGAAGACTTGGAAATTATTGAAATAAAAAGTTTTAAAGATGAAGATTATTACAAACCATTCGAACAATTAATGTTTGTTTTGCCTATTAGAAGTAAAAAGCTTTTACCAGTAGCATACCAGGTACGTATAAGTTCACTTAATAAATTATTATAAATATTATAAAATATAGTAAGTTTAACAAGATTTTATTTAGAACCTTATGAATGATCCTAGAATTGAGGTCTTTTATTCTACTGATAAGAATGATAATCTTCCATTCATTGATGAAAAGATTCTATTATCTGTATTAAAATGTAAGCATATAAAATTTTAATTGTTTGCAATACTTATTAACTAATACTGCCATTTGATTCGTTATAGCTGCAGAAAACAACTTGACAAATGAAGAAAAACAGAGAAATGAGTTTGGGAATGTACTTCTCTTTGAATATGATGAATTGAACAAAAAAGTGAATATGGAGATTCTGAAACCTTAACAGAAGTTTATGCTTTTAAATAGAATCAAAGTATAAAAATTTTGATGTGAAGAGATATGGAATCGAACATCAACTATATATTGCATAAATTTATATTTCTAAATTCGTAGTGCAAAATACTGTATGTTTAATACAGCACTAATAAAGTTATCAAATAAATATTGTAATTATCGGATAAATATCTCTTAAACCGCTTCTCCTACAAATTTGCCCTGAAATTTTTTTAAAAATTTTATTTTTAAAACAAAATTTTAAATATTAATTTTAGCTATATATTTTCTAAGTAAAATATTTAA